TAGGGACAACGCCTTACAATTCTAAACTAGCAACATACTAGATCATCTACTTTCATAGTAACTGCAAAGATAGTGGTAAATGTTTTATGTATGTTTTAGAAAAAATCAGGGCCAGAGCTTAAAACCTGTTATCTAGTGAGAGTCACTTTATCAGCTGTGAAATATTTACACTGCAGATCAAGAACTCGGAGACAATAGCCGCAGCCTTGGTGGCAGAGGAAGCTCACCCAGAGGCAGTCTCTCACCAAGGTAAGCGTTATTTGCACTGCAAAGTATCGGCAAAGGAAACATTTCTCGATTTGGAAACTTCTTTAACTCGTATCAGCAGAGCATACATTTGTAAGGCTATAAAAGCATTCTATAGATAAGAAGCATGTCTGGACAGTCAAGAAAAATGATTCTAAATTGACTTGAATATTAATTTAAACACATGGTTAGATTTGTAAGCTTTGTAAAAGATATACCTTTTCTTGGATTCTAATGAATTTCAGCTCTCTTGTATATTTAGCTCCTGGTACTATTAATATATTAATTTGGGTAATTCTTTTTGGTTAGAAAATAGTCTTAAAAGTCTCTTGGGGCTTCCCTGGTGGCGCAGTTGTTAAGAATCTGCCTGCCGATGCAGGGGGGACACGGGTTTGATCCTTGGCCCGGGAAGATCCCACATGCCGTGGAGCAACTGAGTCCGTGTGCCACAACTACTGAGACCCCTGCGCCTAGAGCCCATGCTCTGCAACAAGAGAAGCCACTGCAATGAGCAGCCTGTGCACCGCAAAGAAGAGTAGCCCCGCTCGCCGCAACTAGAGAAAGCCCCCACGCAGCAACAAAGACCCGACACAGCCAAAAATAAAAACAAAACAAACAAACAAAAACAAACATAAAAAGTCTTTTAAAGCTGCAGACTCCAGGCTTTCAACTTTGGGTTCCAGTTTTAGCTCTGTTGTGGGCAATGCACTTAACCCTTTAGTCTCTAGTTCCTAATTCAGTAAATGAAGTTCTTGTGGCTCATCTCTGAAATCCCTCTAGTTCTTAAAATTGTCTGAAGCAAAGTATAGCAAATATGTTACATTGTTCTGTGAAATTATCTTAGATATTATATGAAAGAGTTCAGGTACCATTTATTAATATATAATATATAAGCTCATTCCTGCGAATAGCACATTAGGCTATTGTTTTATTAACTTTATTCCACTCTCAACTCCTATACCTTTTTCTAGTTTGTTTTCTCTCTGTTCTCTAATTTTGTAAACTGCCTCAAGCATAGTATTAGATTGGGTGAGAATGGAGCAGGAGGAGGAAGAAGCCCATTCAAGAATCTTTTTCAACTGTGGAAATTTTAAAATTCTATTAAAAATAAAATTTTTTTCTGCCATGGCTACCGTAAATATCACTGTTATTGTGTTGCTAATATATATGTGTTGCTATATATATATATATATATATATAATGTCTGTTAAGGAACATCTTTAACGTTAGAGAGATTAGTCCAATAACCTCTAATTTTGCTATTTTCTAGTGCTGCATCAGTAGTGCCTTTTTTCTAATCCCTGAGTGAACTAAAGGTAGTATTGTTTTTCCTAATTGAACTCTGCAGAAAATTAAATATTCTTCTTTTGAAACTAGGAATCTGAAGTACAATTATAACATCATCTGACCAATTTATAATTTATGCTGTGTTACTTCTGTACTGTTTTATTCTTTTTTTTTCAAAGAAGAAAGTTAATCGATTTTTTTTGCTCATATGTTTAGTGGAGGAAGCGTCTCTGTGTTCTTTTTTTTTTTAATTAATTTATTTTTGGCTGCATTGGGTCTTCGTTGCTGCGCTTGGGCTTTCTCTAGTTGTGGTAAGCGGGGGCTACTCTTCTTTGCAGTGCATGGGCTTCTCATTGCGGCGGCTTCTCTTGTTGTGGAACATGGGCTCTGGGCGCGCGGGCTTCAGTGGTTGCAGCGCACGGGCTCAATTGCTCTGCGGTATGTGGGATCTTCCCGGACCAGGGCTCAAACCCGTATCCCCTGCATTTGGCAGGCGAATTCTTAACCACTGCGCCACCAGAGAAGTCCCCGTGATCTCCTTTTTTTGTTTTTGTTTTTGTTTTTTTTGTGGTACGCAGGCCTCTCACTGTTGTGGCCTCTCCCGTTGCGGAGCCCGTGCTCCGCACTCGCAGGCTCAGCGGCCATGGCTCACGGGCCCAGCCGCTCCGTGGCATGTGGGATCCTCCCGGACCGGGACATGAACCCGCGTCCCCTGCATCAGCAGGTGGACTCTCAACCACTGTGCCGCCAGGGAAGCCCCCCTGTGTTCTCCTTTTAAACTTAAAATATCATGCAAGCTACCTAGAAATTATTCAGGATTCCTTACTGCAATTTTGCATTGTGCAGTTCTTCGTGTTTCATTAGCTAAATGGTATTTAACACAAAAAAATGGCACTAAATTACTTTAGGACATATTTCCAACTGTATATTATTATTTAAAAATCAGCCTGAAATATAATGGCCTAAATTATCCTGGCAGTAATACTATTGGGAAAGGGATGGGCAGCTGTATGTAGCATGTGATGTTTACACGTGGAATAAAAAGCCTCATTTGTTTAACTTGTAATTTAAAGAGATTTTTGGAGAGATGCATATCAGGGATGCGGCAGAGCACTCTCAGGCTGTTGGAAGACCTGAGCTGTAGCCCAGCTCTGTCGCTTACTAGCGGCGTGTCTTTGGACAAGTCACTAAAGCCCCATCTTGTTTCCTCAGATAGAAATGGAGCCAGTAAGGCAGGTTTTGACTTCTCACTAGGTTGTTGTGAAGTTAACTAGGTGGAAACACTTCAGAAACTCTAAAGCCCTTTACTAATTATATTTTTATGGAGGCTGGAGAACAGAAATGGCCACATTTACTTATTTAAAACAAAAAGTGGATGAGAGAACATAACATGTTCATCTTAATATAAGTGATACTTGTTTTGGAAGAGGTGATTAAGTTATCATTTGAAGTACATATGTTAAGACATTTTAGAAAAAATTTGTATAAAGGGCTCAAAAATTGCTTTGGTCTGGATAATGTTCCCTAAATTTTTGAATTTATAACAAAATACTCCTTCAAAATTGTTTAAAAATTCTTTTTACTGATACTTGAGATTTTGTGGTTATGAATTAAAATGCTCTGTACTTTATTATAATTGTACAGTGTCTTTCTAGTCCTGTCTTTCTCCCTTTTGTCTTATAAAGTTGCATCAAGTTCTTTTACAGCCTATTTCAGAGATTATTAGTGGTGTGTTTATATTTTCTAGAGGTTTTTAATTATCGAGCATGGCCAGCTATTCCCTTGATTTTTACCATTTGGGGAGGAAGGATGGTAATTACTAAATTTTAGGGTAGATTATGGTTTTACTGTTCTAACATAGGCAGCCCGGTGTTAGAAAACTTGTACAGGAGAAGGCTCAGCGTAAGGTGCGAAATGTGAATGTGCTTCCTTCAAAGGGTCCTTCTTCTGTTTAACCTGAGGATTAATGTTTCCAACAGGTCCCCTGTAAGTAGCTTACAGATCCGCTATGATCAACCAGGCAACAGCAATTTGGAAAACCTGCCCCCAGTAGCAGCCAGCATAGAGCAGCTTCTGGAGAGGCAGTGGAGTGAAGGACAGCAGTTTTTATTAGAACAGGGCACTCCTAGTGACAGTAAGTATTCTCTTCTTGTCTTTAAAGAAAGATCAATAGATGGATGGATGGATGGATGAACAGATAGGTGGATAGATGTTGAATTCACACTTCATCAAGAATAGCATTGAAATTATGATATGTCTTACATAATATGGTGAGAAAGTGTAATGTAGTGGCTCAGTAGAACAAATGCTACAGGTTTACTGCTTGGACTTGAATTTTGTTTTTACCTGTTATTAACAGTGTGATCTTAGGCAAGTTTCTTAATGTCATTGTGCTTTTAGATTTCCATTTGTAGAATGGGAATAATAATGTACCTGTATCATAGTATTGTTTTGAGGGTTAAATGACATAGAATATATGAAGAACGTTGCCTGGCTCATGGAATTCACTGGTTTTTGTTACTTTTTATAATTATTAAAATATTGGTACATTGTTTCTCCATTGTACTTTGTTCTAATCAATTTTTATAAGTTTTACTAAAATATGAGTTATAGCTTCTTTTAGCTTAGTTGTTTGAATCAAACTTGCTCACCTTTGGAGGATTTGTTTTTAAAAATGTGTATAGTCAAGTATGGCCAACTGTCTTGATTTTACAATTTGGGTGAGAAAGGAGAATAATTACTAAATTATATATATAACATATATATTATCTATATCATTTACTTGCTAAATTATGTAATATATATTACCTATACATATTTAGTATCTTTACAATTTTAAGTATTAAGGAGAGCCATGGGTGAAAAATGCCAAACACAAAAACTGTTACTACAGATACTGTTAACTAGAGAAGTGGCCTAATGTTAAGGATATATATATCTGGGGGAAATAATAGGTGTTTTGGTTTGGTTTTTAATCATTTTGTGAGTGGGAGGTATAAGCTTTTGCTGCTTTATTTTTTTAAAACAAAAAATATTTTGCTTATTGTTACACAGGTGCCATAAATTGATATTTTTATGAATGGTGCTCTGACAAAAAATGCTAATTGTGAGGAAATTCATGCCGGGATAATCCTTTGAACATGATAGCTGGAGGACAGGTTTAGCTTAGTCTTACTGCATCTCATTTGGGTATACTAAGGGTTTATTTGTGGGATCTTGAAGAGGAGGGAGAAAAGTTAAATCCTTGGGAAGTGACCGTATGTGTCTGTACCAGTAGAATTGTGTGTTTTCAAGGCCCTGAGGACATGTTAAACAAATACAACTTTTTAATACATAGAACTTTTAAAGTGTCATTCACTGCAGCATCACACAGGCCTCTCTCTCAGCTGTGTCCGAGAGGTCTGAGAGCTGTGGCAGGAACGGAAACGGTATTTGAGGTGGTAAGGCAGGGCAGAAGCTGAGCCTGTATGCAGATGACGTGCCTTCCTTTGGAGCCGGGAGCGGGACTGTGGTGCACACACACTGCTCTCTGCTGGGCGAGTGTGGATCCACAGGCCTAGCGGCTGGGCTTCCTAGTCCTGTGTCAGGTGGCTTGCTTAACTCAACCAAGCAACAAACAAAATACTTGTGCTCTTTATTTGTGGCGAAGGATATTGGTGTGATTCTTTGCCCTTTGAAATATGATTTTAATGAAAAATCATGGCGAGCACTTCGAATTTTTAATTAGGTTTTTATTTTGATGAAAATAAAGTGTTCTCAGGATTTTTCTTTGAGAATGGAAATTACCTGAACTAGGTTGGGTTTTTTTGGTTTGTGGCGACAAAGTTTCCACATGGTATATCTAGGAACAGTATCCCTTTATGCTTACATAGGTACAAATATATTATGGTATATTTATATCTACATATAAATTTAGTAATAGAACCTAGTCACTTAGAAATGCTTTATAGAATTTCTACTTTTCTATTTTAATTTATTTCTAAAGTTATTGACACTTAAGTCCATAAAATACCTAATCCTATGTATGAAATTCTTTATTAAAAACGATTCAAATGTCTGCTAGTTTTAGGAATGCTGAAGTCATTACACCAACTTCAAGTAGAAAATCGAAGATTAGAGGAACAGATTAAAAACTTGACTGCCAAAAAGGAACGCCTTCAATTATTGAATGCACAGCTCTCAGTGCCTTTTCCAACAATAACAACAAATCCCAGCCCATCTCATCAAATGCATGCATTTTCAGCACAGAACGGTAAGTATGAATTTATTGTGGATCTAAGGAAAGTAGGATGGACTTCCATTATCTTTTTCATAATAACTGAATAATAACTGGTCACCAGTTATATGCAGATGTAGAAAAGGAATGATAAATTATTTTCTATGAGCATAAAGAATCCTGTTCATGTAGAGAACAAACGTATGGACACCAAGGGGGGAAAGTGGTGGTGGGAGGGTGGTGGTGGGATGAATTGGGGATTGGGATTACACCAAGGGGGGAAAGTGGTGGTGGGAGGGTGGTGGTGGGATGAATTGGGAGATTGGGATTGACGTATATACATTAATATGTATAAAATAGATAACTAATAAGAAATTGCTGTATAAAAAAATAAAATTCAAAAATTCAAAAAAAAAGAATCCTGTTCAGTGTTCAATTTGAATTTGCTCTGACTTCTTTAGTACAGAATTTAATGGTAAAATTTAAATATGTAATGACCTCTTTATTGATTTAAAGCCATGATATTCAGTAGAGATAAAGATTTTTTTTCATTCAAATTGGTCTTAAGAATAACAAGGCTTAATATTTAAGTGTTTTTAATGCGGGCTTCAGGGTAAGCTTTTTTAGACAGGCCTTTAATCTTACACATAATGTAATTTAACAGGTAAATAGGTTTCTTTTTCTTCATCTTTTTTAATCTAGCTCCTACTACTGATTCCTTGAACAGCAGTAAGAGCCCTCATCTAGGAAACAGCTTTCTACCTGATAATTCTCTTCCTGTATTAAATCAGGTAATTTGGGTGTGGTTAGTTTCATTTGTGTGTTTCACTTATGAACAGTAGTATATCACATTAGATGGTTTAAACTTATTTTAAACAGTTTTCCTGTGTTGTTTACAACTTAGTTTCTATTCTTTCTTACGTTAGGACTTAACCTCCAGTGGACAAAGCACCAGCAGCTCATCGGCTCTTTCTACTCCACCTCCTGCTGGGCAGAGTCCAGCTCAGCAGGGCTCAGGCCTTAGTGGAGTTCAGCA